CTAGAGTAAACTGCTTGAAAACCATACCCTTCACAGCGGCACATACCTATATAGCTCATATATGGCAGTGGCCTCCCCCCCGGCAATTAAAATAACGCTTCCGTCCGGATCCACGTAGGCGACGACTTCGTTTCGAAGACATGAACATCTCCAATGAAAAACCTCTATTTACAAACGAAAAACTGGCGGTGTATACAATTAACAACGAAGAAATAGCGATTTATACAAAATACTATTTGCAAAAGATCGTGACAAGAAAACTTTAAAGCTGTTATTTTATAGAACACAGAGAACAATCTTTGTTCAAGCTAGACTGCAAGCAGTCTCTCTTTTCCTCGAAAATCCGTACGGAAGATCGCAAAACAAGTAAGCGTGCGAGCGTGGCTGTGAGGGTGACGTGCGAGCAACGGTAGCGCGGGCGTCGTTCGGCCTCTTTTCGCTTGCCTTCCGACGCCCGCGCTGCTAGCGGCATCGCCGCTCGCGAGTGACGCTTACTTGTTTTGCGTTCTTCTCCAGCACTGATCCAAAGTGGACATCTATGATGCTTTATTTCTTCAGAAAGCTACACATGCTAGGAAACGTTCTATTTGTTTTAATTGGCTTAATTTTGAGAATTTCCAATACATTGACAGGATGATTTACATTCATTCCAATTTACTCTAATCTAAATCGACTAACGTGCGAACGGCGAACGGCAAACATCTAATCTCAAACCTCAGTTAGACGTTTGCGCTAAACATGGATCAGTCTAACGGTCTATTTTGCTATTGTTGACTGCGAAAGTTGTTATTGACTTTTAAAATTGGTATGATCTAGAAATTAAGGTGTTTCAGAAATAAACAATTAAGGAATTATTGAACTGAAACACGTTTTAACCTCAACATTGCTTGGGGATGCTTGGTGAATGCACTTCTCACAGAAACCTTCCGGTGAACATGAAGGGGTCCAAATTCACGATGCCAATTAAATCGCACTTCATAACAATCATGATAAAAATAGTTTCCTCTAAGAATCATACCTAATTGCTGGCTTTAGTGCGCGTGATCTGCGCAACATGCCCCATTTGAGACCAAAATAACCGGCCGTCAAAATCTATACCCGTTTCAGAACAAAACGGCTACAAAATCATACCCTTTGGCGCCAGCTATGTAAGAGACTACCCCCTGTCTATCATACCGGGGTGAAAACATCTCCCAGATGAAAACAAGAATAGGAATTCACTTGAAATTTATCATCGCCTCAGCAGTGAGGGAAATCACGAATACGCACAATGATGCCATGACCTTGTTCATTAAAACCAAGTAAATGATGTTCTTTGTGCGTTAAAGGAAATCAATACAAATGACTTTATTGCTGAACGAACGTAAACCCATCACACATGCTGGAATGAAGAAGCTTTACCACATGAGTCAAGGAGTTTTATTTTTTTGTCTGGGTCCAAAACTCAAAAGCTTAGAAATCTTGTTGGGTTTGTACGAAATAAATTTTAGAATTGTCACTGAAATTCCAACACGCTTTTGTTGGCGATAGGTTAATCTTTCAACGAACCGAATTTGACTGAGATCGCACAAATCATGTTAATTTTAGTTATAACTAGTCAAAGTGTCCCCATCCAGCGAAAATAAAGTTTTGAGAAAACAGCGCTTGAAAAGCACATTTACCGTGGCGCCGAACAACTAAGGTCTGGTAATTGGGGTCGGGTAGCGTGACCAGTGCCAGACGTCACGTTTTTCGACTCACGATTTGAATCACATAATTCAGTCACCTCAAGCTTTATTGCCTTCGACTTTATTTAATGCAACTTACAAACGCAGAAATCGAATAAAGTAACCCTTAAGTTCTACAAATTGGTCATTTTTAGGCAAATAAGCAATTACCCGTCTTTTTGTTGTGGTTTGTAGCCGTGAAGGCACTGATCCTAAGTGGATATCTATGACGCTTCATTTCTTCAGAAAGCTACACATGCTAAGAAACCTTCTATTTTTTTTTAATTGGCTTAATTTTGAGAATTTCCAAT